CAAAACATAGACTACAGTAATTATTTTTATTTTAAGTATCATCTCTGCATTTAGACCCTGGCATGACCCATGCTGTGTTCTGGCTTCATTCCAATCTGCTGCTTTCTCTGGGAAGGCCTGGTCTAGGTGAGAGCCTCGCTGACACCCCTCTGTATGAAATATCAATGTGAATGACTCACTCCCAAGTTTGGTGTCAATCATCAGCGCAAATGCCAAACCCATTATCACCAAATCTTTTCAAGAAGTTGTTTTGTCCATCTGGTGGCAGAAGCAGCAGCCTTTTTTCGAAAAAGAGGGAAGATTTTCACAACAGCATTCGGTCTTTTGAAGAAGCTTGTTTTCCCCCACAGGGTGAAGAAACTAGATTTTCAATTTACCTTTATAAATGACCTTGCAAACATCCAATTCTCCATTTTTGGTTGCACACACTTAATTTTTAGCTTAGTTTATTTGGTGTGTGTGAAGGAAGGTGGAACTTGTATTAAGTCTCATAGAGATGGATAGTGTCTGCTCAGTGCAGCAGTGATACAAATAAACATACAATATTTATATTTCCAACCAACCACCTCTAAGAATATTGAGCATCAGTTCTATATAGTCTGTTCTATCATTTGCACCAGTGACATAAATAGGCTTTACCTTTGTTCTTTTGGCCAAAGCTTCTTCAAGATGTGACTGAAGTATGTTGTGACAAGTGCTGCACACTCCAGTAGAGGACTAGTTTGTCTCCTGGTTGCTTGTGTCGACTGTTTTCATAAAAGCCAGCCTACTTCGCTGTTTGTGTTTCTGTTTTCATTTTCCTTTTTTTGTATTGAATAGCACAACAGGCAAGTTCATTATGCGTGTGACTCATCCCACTAGCCCACACCCCCTCCCCATCTGCTGCTGTGCGCTGGAAAGGAGAGGGAACCGCCATTGATCACTTCTTCCCTCACACATGCACACACACACCCCACCTTCAACATCACTATCGATCGACATGTTTAATGTTTTTGTGGGGAATAGCTGGTATTTCCTTTTTTGTGTCATTTTACATCTGTTCCCCACCATTTGCTGACATTATACTACATCACAGAGCAGAAATGGGGAAAAAATAAAAAGTAAAGCATAAGCCAACCAATTATTCAAACATTTGCAGACTGTTCAGTCAGTCCTGGGCTGCAATCTTTTTGTGGCATATATCCTTATGTATATAAGGAAATGTGCATGGACAGGAGATGTTTTCTGCTTTGCAAGTGGTAATCCATGGACACAGCTTCCAGCTACCTGACTAACCGCAAAGATGCTGTGGCAGAATGATTTGGCAGGCGTTGGACATTTCCTTGATAAGACATTTTCCCCCTCCCTCCCTCTCATTATATGATAAATAAATGGTGTTTAACACTTCATATATGCTTGTAGCACACTATAACATTGACATGCAAGTACAATAATATTCTGAAGTAGTTTTTCACACATTTATAAACATGTTAATACATGTAAATAACACAAAGTGCATGCTATACAATGAAAGGTAAAGGTATCCCTTACTGTCTTCTCATGCATCTTTTTTTGGGTCAACCTAAAAGTTATCCAATTGGATTTTTACATGTGTTTTAGAATATATTAACAAAATATCTTCTGGAGTAGCCAAACGTTTAAATGCTATTTCCTCACCAAGAACTTTTTGTTGTTTTTGTTTATAAAGTTATTACACTGTATGTAGACAGCTAACATCCAACAGTTTCAGAATACATTTTTAAATATTAATAGGAAAAAATTAAAAATTTTAAATCCACCACAGAACTTGTTTGGGAAGATATGCATTGTGAATGTCGTGGCTCATGGTGATGTGCAATGAGCAATGTTTTTGATGGCATGCGTCAAAGATTGTCTTCAAATGTAGCAACTGCCACCAAAACCACGACACATGAAAGGACCAGCAATGCAGAAACAGATTTATTTTTCACATGGCAAACAAAATAGCAATTCTATCTTATTTTTATGACCTAACAGCGATCCTGTGGTTACCTTACATTACTTTACAAGTGCAGAGTGGTAGTTCTTGGACGCACGGACTGTGTGGGCATCTCCAAGCGCACCTGCTATTTTGGTTCATGTTTATGCAGCAGTGCAAAGTGCAAAAAGGCTGGGTAAAGTGGAATATAAATGGAGGGTGTGGTGCTTAATAAATACACTCTCAGCCAGTCAAATTATTACTGGTCTCTTTGCTCTGAAACAGCTGTGCCAATCACAGGGAAGCATGACAGCAGTAGCTCAACAAATGTGTTACTGTACAATGATGATCAAATAAGTAAAGTTGGTGAAGCCATTTATGACCCAATCAATACAACGCTGTTTCAGTTTAAATTCTAATATATATATATATTCTGTATTCTAAACTATGACATGGCAGCATTTGCACCGTTTACATTGTCATTTACATTTACTTATTTGGCAGATGCTTTTATCCAAAGCGACCTTATAATTGAGGAACAAGCATCAGTAAAGGAAGAGATCTACAAGTGACAATAGATACTAGTAAGAGCAGCAATAAATACTAGCACTATATTAATGGAGCAAGAAGTAAGCTAACGGATGCAGTCAGCTGTGGTGTCACAGATGAGAACGGCCGGAACATAAACTTGTATGAGGGAGTTTGGGTAGATGGGTGCGGACCCAGTAGTCACTCTGTATGCAAGTATTAGTGACTTGAATTCGATTCGGCCATGGGTAGCCAGTGGCAGTAGCTGAGTAATGGAGTAACATGATTCCTTTTGGGTTGATTGAAAACCAGACGCGCTGCCACGTGCTGAACCATTTGTAGAGGTTTCACCGCACAAACTGGAAGACCCACTAGGAGGGCATTGCAATAGTCGAGGTGAGAGATAACCATGGCCTGTACCAGAAGCTGGGTGGTGTACTGAATAAGGTAGGGCCTGATTAAATAAGTGCTGGCCCTGTCATGTTTATCTTGTGTCAGTATGTTGTTTTGTTTTTTTCTTCAAATGAACTGTTCCCACAATATATTTTTAATCTATCACAGCCTTTTAAAATGCAAAGAGCAGAACAAAATAACAACATAAATATAACTTGTAGAGGATTTTTAACCTTACTGTTTGCCTCTCATAGAGGATTTTCTGTTATGACAACACCAGTAATAATACTCAACTTTATTGTCACATACAATTCTACACGCATGCAAAATTTAACCCATCCTAATTAGGAGCAGTGGGCAGCTATGGTGCAGTGCCCGGTGAGTAGTTTGGGGTTCAGGGCCTTGCTCAGGGGCATCTTTGGCAGTGGTCCATACTGGACTTGAAACGGTGACCCTCTAATTATCAAGTTCCCACAGACTAAACTAATGCTGCCTCACTGAATATTATAATAATATATGTTGATTAAATAGTTTTTTGCGTTAAGAGCTGTCCAGACATCAGTGACATGACTTTTTATGGTATTAGCTTGGAAGCAATAGGCAAGGCACTGAGGATTTATACTTGATAATGACCATCACACTTTTTCTATTAAGTACAAAGACAACCCTCTTCATCAGTTCAATCTATATACAGTCCCCTCCAAAAGTATTGGAATGATAAGGCAAATTCCTTTGTTTTTGTTGTTCACTGAAGACATTTGGGTTTAAGATCAAAAGATGAGTATGAGACAAGAGTTCAGAATTTTTGCTTTCATTTAAACAACTCAGGACACACCACTCTTTGTTTGAACCCACCCATTTTTGAAGTGAGCAAAACTATTGGAACATGTGACTGACAGATGTTTCTTGTTGCCCAGGTGTTGCCTTTTAGGTTGACTGTCCAAACATTAAATAGCTAGACTTGTCTAAGTTTTCATCCTAGGTTCAAACCTATAAAGACTGCATTTCCTAAAAAAGAGGATAAACCAACATGAAGACCAGAGAGCTGTCTATGGGAGAAAAGCAAGTCGTCAAGCTGAGAAAAGAAGGAAAATTGACCAGAGCCATTGGACAAACACTGGGCATAGCAAGCACAACAATTTGGAATGTCCTGAAAAAGAAAGAAACTACTGGTGTACTGAGCAACAGACGTCCAACAGGTCGGCCAAGGAAAACAACAGTAGTTGATGACAGAAATATCGTGAGAGCTGTGAAGAAAACACCCAAAACATCAGTAAGTGACATCACCAACGCATCACCCCATCACCCCACACTGCAGGGGTGAAGGTATCACAATCCACGGAGAAGACTCAGAGAGCAGAAATATAGAGGCCGCACCACAAGATGCAAACCACTCATCAGCAGTAAGAATCGAAGGAAATTTGCAAAGAAGTACAGAGATGAGCCACAAAAGTTCTTGAACACAATCTTACGGACTGATGAGACCAAGATTAATCTCTACCAAAGTGATCAAAAGGCCAAAGTGTGAAGAAAGAAAGGAACTGCTTATGATCCGAAGCATACAAGCTCATCTGTGAAGCATGGTGGTGGTAATGTCAACGAAGGGTCACGGGCTTGAGGCAGTTTACTGCAAGCAAGGATTATGCCACCAAATATTAAATGTTATTTACTTTAAAATTATTTGTTCCATTACTTTTGCTCACTTAAGAATGCTGTGGTCTAATACAAATAATGATGTGTCCTAAGTTGTTCTAACACATCTACACATCTACCTGTGAATACCATGAAATAAAAGCTGTAATTCTGAACTCTTGTCTCATACTAATCTTTTGATCTTAAGCCCAAATGTCTTCAGTGAACAACAAAAACAAAGGAATTTGCCTTACCATTCCAATACTTTTGGAGGGGACTGTATATTGAGGGAGTCTACCATATCTGTCATTTTGAATTAATTTCAGTTTTAATATAGACATAGACACATAAGTACCCTGAGATAAGACAGATTCAGAAAAATCTGATTTAAAATAACACTTAAACATAAATGAAGAATTAACATTGTAATGGTAATGTGTTGATGATTATTTCAATATATGGAGTCCTGGTGTGAGGAGAATGTGTTGTTCTCTTTCTTTCTCGCATGTAGGTGGTCCTGGACATGACATTTGGAGGTGGTGGTCATACCAAAGCAATACTGAATACGGTTCCTGAAGTCACAGTCCTGGCCTTAGACCGAGATCCTACAGCAATTTTACTGGCTGAGCAGTTAGCCAAGGAACACTCGTAAGTGATTTATTGATTTATTGATTCATTGTATAGTGATTTATTATTTATTTATTTATTGTTTATATCAACTAGACCAAAACACAAGTTAAAGCTTATGTTAAGCTGCCTAGAAAACTGTTGATACACTGCCATGTTTTTTGCCATACATTTTTATAATTACATCTGACAGCTTGACCATTTTGAGCAGTATTTAGTTTGTGGTCATTGTTTCTTAAAACATACTGTGTGTGTGATATAGCATTGCAGTTCTCCCAGTATTTCTCACTTCTTGCCTGAGCCCGATCAAATACTGCTCGCCAAGATACAGCCCCTGAGTTTCACCATCCAATCAAATCCATTCCTCCTTCCTAACTTAAAGCTTTTCTCCCCCCACGCAAAGCTGGTGGGCCCGGCATGTCATTTGTCAGAGTAAGGGCCCACGCCTGCAGTGTGAGGGAGATGCTGCCTCCCACGGAGGATCTATAAGAAATAAGGGGGGGGGAGTACAGAGAAGCCTAGAGAAGTTAAGAAGTGGAGAGAGAAAAAAACGGAAGAGAAAATTAAAACATGAGAGTGAGAGAACAGGGAGACACGAGGACACAATGCCAGGGTGAGAGGGAGTGTGTGTGTGCATGAGCAAGGCGCGGGAGGATGAAAATGAGATGTTCCTAAGACCATGGCGTGGGAAGGAATCCTTTTACGTAGATTCTGGGGAAACCTCTCTCAGGGGAATCTGCCAGAGCAATGTGCCTGTGAGCAGGGAATGACAATTAAGAGAGAGAGAGAATGAGAACGCTGTATTCTGTCAGCAACAATATACCCCCGCTGTAAAGTCTTCCACGCCTACTCGTGATGCAAGTTGAGAGAAGCTAGAGAAATCTAGCAATTAACCAATATTGTTGGAAGCCTGAGTAAAAGACCCTGGCAACCTACGCAGTGCATTCGCACAACAAGGTTAGAGGATTTTCTCTCTCATCTGTACTCCCATGGTTTGAGGAAACTATAACCTCAATGCAAACTGTTGAATGTTGGTGTGAGTCTGAACCCAGTTTTATCAAACAGAGAATAATTTCACCTCCTAAATTTTATTGAAAAGTAACCCCTCTGTTCTCTCAACGTTATTCAACCATGTCTTTAATGGGATGAGCCTCACTATACTCCTTACTATATACCATTCTTGTTGTTGCTATGACTTCCCTGGGCTTGAAGAGACGCAGTAGTTGTGCTCACAATAAATGTTATAAATCTCAAAAGGCAGCAAGCATTATTGAAAAGCCAACCGGTGAGACATGAAATATGATCCAGGAAGTGCAGTTGGGTTAACAGATTGATACATATAAAGGCTTATCAGATGCCAAAACACTACACAAAGGTTTTTAATACTCACAGAAAGGATTTAACTTTAGAAGGTTATCACAGGGGCAAATACTTTATCTTTCGTCATGACAATAGTGAGGTAAACACATTACAAAGTAGTCAACAAGGGGTGTGAGCCTGAGCCTACGCAGAGACATTTTAGAAGAGACACGCCACTCAGTTGCATCCTCAATACAACTCTATGGGGAAAGCCCATAACGGCAAAGATGGCAGTTATCCCGCCCCTCCTACTAGAAAGCCAATCGTATGTGTTTTAACAGCCAAAGCGTGAAACATATTTCAGCCAATCGTGTGGTTCCACTGACGTAAGGGTCTGCTTCACTTCAAATGCACATGCGCGGAAGTGGTGACGCATGTGTAGTAGAGGTATAAACGGTCGGAAAAAACGCCTTTTAAACCTTATTTTGGGGCAAAGTCGTCAAACTTTTTCAGCCTTTTTTAACAGATTTTACTGCAGATTCTAGTCATTTAGTTTTTATGTCCTGGTGACCAGTGAAAGTGCAGTTCTGACTCTCACCCCATTCATTAAGATAGGAGCCTGGTCTTATTAGTCCAAAATAGCTGCCCAGAGGCGTTGCCAAGATGGCGGCAGAGTGGCATGACTTGTCTAGAAGGACTGTGGCCTACTGCAGCCTTTTTGCCAGACGACTATTTCCCAGAGTCCTTCCCGTAGGCTCCCCTGCTGCGTTGATGGACTGGCTTCATTCAAATGAGTGAAAGGCCTGTGTTTTTTACTCAAGGCTGAAGTCGATCTGAACATGCCACCAATTAAGCTCTGATTGGTCGACTGTTTCAAAAAGCCCATGTAAATAATGTGACAACAATGCAGCATCAGGAAATCCATGTGGCTGAAATTATTAGTGCAAAACATGGACTATTACATAGTCGTAAAGTAGTAAAGGTACCAGAGGAATCCATCGTTACCAACACCAACACAACCACCCCTTAAAGGGCTTAACAAAATCAGTGTATTTCTTGAGCACAACACTCTGCAACTGGATATTTGACTTCCTCACAAACAGACCCCAGATAGTTCGGAGTGGCGGTTGTACCTCCTTCACTCTAGTGCTCAACACTGGGACTAACGTTGTACACCCACGACTGCAACCCCATACATGGAGAACTGTTGCTGAAACCACCATCATCGGCCAAATTTCAAACAATGATGAGACTTTATAGCGGGAGGAAATCTTCTCAAAACTGCTCAGAAGATCATTGGTACCTGTCTACCGAGCATCAGTGATATCGGTGAAGTGAGGTGCCTACCTAGGGCCCAAAAGATACTAAACGATACCACAGAATCCAGCCACAGCCTGTTCACCCTGCTGCCGTCTTGCAAGATGTATAGACCTATCTTCTGTCATACCACCAGACTAAAGAGCAGCTTCTTCCCCCAGGCTGTGATATTCTGAAATTCATCCTCAGCACTGAACCATAGAACATTGTTTATTTCTGTTTATAGTTTTATATTTTATTATATTATACGCTTGCTTTATGAGTAGCATGAAGGGAACTACAAACTTAATCTTATTATACAACTGTTATAAAATGACGAATAAATGTATTTTGTATCTTGTGAGCTACAAGCCCAGTTAGTTTTGTGTTGAGTCCTGGCTAAACTGCACACTGCGTAAAAACATTCATACTCTTCTTCATGCAGAATTACTTGGTTGGATTTTGGACGGTGACGAAACCAAGCCAAGTGTGGCAGTCTTTGCATTGTTCAGTACAACACTCAAGTCTGCCATTCTCTCAATTCTAACTAGTTTATTAATAACCTCAATCAATCAGTCACACGTCATAGACAACTAGGGCATCAGGGAAGTGCAGATTTCCATATTTGGAAACTTTCCTCATCTGTGATGCAAAATTTTCTAGCTGTCCAAAAACAAGCTTTTTAAGCAGGAAATATAGATGATGAAATTAAAGCAGCTGGGAAGTAACAGTAATAACAGTAATTGATGACATTTTGAGGAGAAGATGGCAAGGCCACCCACAAGTTAACAGTCATTCAGGTACCAATTCACAGTTCTTGTAACTTTAATACTAAATAAATAAGTCACAAAGTTTTTATAACCTTCCTTAGGTCAACTAAGGTAGCACAAATGGACATTTAGAAAAAAATGCATCTTTAAGGACTAGCCTGTGTGTGTTCGTCCTGTGTTTGTAGCCTCTTTTTCTTCACTGGACTGTAGATATTTTCATCACTGCTCCCCTGCTGAAAGCAATCAATCAGCATCTTGTCTTAGGCTTCAGTGACGCAGGTAAAGGAACTGAGCAGGTCAACACAAGGGAATATTTCAGGCTTGATTTGTGAAGAGGCAGCATCGTGTTGAACAAGCATGCGCTCAAACTGAGGCTGCTTTGAACGTTCATGATGTCCTCACTGAGTGTACTCTTATTCCAGATGGTAAAGAACAAGTGAATGCAAGGAAATCTTTAATGATGCGGTGGTTTGTGAGAAAATACTAAAGTGTAGTCAAATAGTGGTTTGACAAAAATAATCTCCTACTAGAAGTTTTTTAGAGGCAGTGACTGAAATTTCCATTAAGTGACATTTTGCTAAGAAATTTTTGTCAAAATGTCTTCATTGTCTTATAAGGACATTCTACCCTACTATAAACTATTTTGCCAGTGTGTATAGACCATTTTGTGCACTCTTTGACTCTGCACAGTTGAAAAGCAACAATTCAACAATTGTTGATATTAGGGGCTGTGCAATATGACTAAAATGTCATATCCCCGATATACGTCATTTTATATCTCAATAACGATATATATCCCAATATAGAAATTTTTTTGTAAATTCAATGAAATATTATGAACTCATGATTTTTCTCTGCTATTCTGGAGAATTCCAACACTATGACAAATACCATGATATAGAGTGAACGACACAGCAAGTACTGTAACCATTTAACGTTAGCTAGGTTGTTTGTTAGCAAACTGTCACTACTTGCTGCTACAGAGCTATTATTAGAGGACGAGAGCAGCACAACTGCTCCAGACAGCGATACAACTCTCCTGCTGCTACTGCTAACATCACAATAACAGCATGTTTTAGTGAACTAATAGAGTAAGCTGAATGTCTGTGGGCTGACACACACATCATGGCTGAAACGACTGGAGTAGTGTTGTGTGGCTCGTCCATACAACAGAATTCTCTCTTTGGTATGAGCTCCTCGTTTTTTGCATGGTCTGATTCCACCTGTTGAGTATTATCCAGTTAAAAGTAAACTTTACTCTCCACGTTTGTTTATTCCTAATGCAAATTTCTTCCCTGCAACACCGGCAAGTGTGGGAGAACGGACCACATTGAATTTAGTTTCAAGTTAGATATTAGTTTTACGTTGAATTGTCTGCAGATGTCTGTCAAATATCCAACTAAAACTAACTTCACCGCAGTGCAAAGCGTCATACCCTTGTAAAGTGTGGTGTTGGCGACACAATGAAATAAATGATAGAGCATAATTTTAAACAATAGACGTTTTGCTACAGTATATACATATATATGTTGTCATTTTGCACAGCCCTAGTTGATATATTTCTAGGCATCTCTGTGTATTGAGGAACAACATACAGTAGCACTTTTTGCCACTGATGCAGAACTAAAGCACATAAGAGCACTCTTGAAAAAGAAA